AGGATTGTTGTGCTTAATGGGTAATAATCAATGGCTCCATGTATAACTGGCAGTTGGTATTAAGTGGTGTGCCCCAGGGGTTGGTCCTGGGACCAGTTTTGTTCAATATCTTCATTAATGATCTGGAACTTGGGATGGATTGCACCTTCCGCCAGTTCATGGATGACACCAAGCTGGGGCATGTTGTAGATATGCTGGAGGTTAGGGCTAGAATTCAGAGTGACCTAGACAAATTGGAGGATTGGGCCAAAAGAAGTCTCATGAGGTTCAACAAAGATGCATGCGAAGTCCTGCATTTAAGATGGAACAATCCCATGTACTGCTACACCCTGGGGACTAACTGACTGGGCAGCAGCTCTGCAGAAAAGGACTTGGGAGGTTATGTGGACAATAAGATGGCTATGAGTCGCCCTTGTTGCCAAGAAGGCTAGTAGCATACTGGCTGCATTAGTAGAAGTATTGCCAACAGATCAAGGGAAGTAATCATTCTGCTCTATTCTGCATTGGTGAGGCCACATCTGAAGTACTGTGTCCAGTTTTGGGCCTCCCACTATAGAAAGAATGTAGACAAGTTGGAGAGAGTCCAGTGGAGAGTGATGAAAATGGCTCAGGGGCTGGGGCTCATGACTTCTGAGGAGAGGCTGAGGGATCTGGGCTTATTTAGTTTGGAGAAGAAGAGTCTGAGAGAGGATTTGATATCAGCTTTTAACTACCTGCAGGGTGGTTCCGACGAGAATGGAGCTAAACTATTCTCAGTGGTGACAGATGATAGAACAAGGAGCATTGGTCTCAAGTTGCAGCAAGAGAGGTTTAGGTTGGATATTAGGAAAAACTTTCTCACTAGGAGGGTGGTTAAGCACTGGAACAGGTAACCTACAGAGATTGTGGAATCTCCATCCTTGGAGGTTTTTAAGGCCTGGCTCAAGAAAGCCCTGGCTGGAATTATCTAATTGAGGATGGGCCTACTTTGAGCAGGGGATTCGACTAAATCAGTGTTTCTCAACCGGTCGGTTGTGACCCAAAAGTGGGTCTCAAGAATATATGAAGGGGTCCCGAACAAACTTTAAAAATGGATCAATTAACTTAAAAAATGGATTCTCCTTTAAAGGAGAAAAAATATGGGATACCATAGCTTTACACATGCAGGCCGGCAGAATTCCAGCTTGCAGGGGCCTACTTGGGGCTCCTCATGCCCCACACACTGTGGGGGGGTGGAGCCTGGGGGCAAGGGGCAGCAGGTCGGGAGTGAGGGGCACTGCATAGGACTGTCCATTGATATTTTACAAATGGGTCCTGGTACAAAAATGTTTGAGAACCACTGAACTAGATGACCTCCTGAGGTCCCTTCCAACCCTAATTTTCTGTGATTCTTTGATTCTAATCCAAGAGCATGTCATACTTTAAAAAAAGAAAAAAATGAAATTACATTAAGTGAATTTACATATTAATTATGTACAGAAAAAAAGACTTCAGAAATGTTTTAAGGTAATACAAGAGCACATTGGCAAAAGAGTGGACAAAATGCCCTAAGAGTCTTTTGCATGTCTATTATCAGTGATATCATGACAGGGATACCTAGAATTCCATTAATCCTGCCGTTGTTATAGAAGTACAAGAGGATCTATGCTTAATTTTACTGGCACTGTAGCCAAGCATTCACGTCTGTAATTATAAAGACCAGGTTACTTTTTGGCTTTAAGTCAGCAGTGCTCAACCTTTTGGCCCCACGGGCTAGATAAGTGATGCTGACCTGGTCCACAGGCCAGATTGAGCACTATGCACCAGGATCAGTCACTGGAACCTGGCCCTGCTCCCTTCCTGCCCTGAGCACTGACTGGTGATAGATATATAATTTTTATTAGTGCTCTGTGTTTCTGTCTGCCTTTCTGTTCATTTTCACATTCAATTAAAATTACTGCTAACAAAATTTTTAAAACTAGGACATGAACGCACCATGCCTCCTGAGGCTGGAGGGGCATGGCGACTGCCCACAGGCAGCAGTGGTGGTGGCAGGGGTGTGTTGGCAATGAGTGGGGACCACCTGCAGGCGGCTGCAATGATGTTGGCGATGGGGAGGAGGTGGGGGGGGAAGGAGAGCGCCAAGTGGTGAGCAGCGACTGCCCACAGATGCCACTGTTAGCAATGGTGGCAGCCAATCTCAGGGGGTGTATATGCACCCATGTGCACCCCCTACGCATCACTAATCAACTAGGATCTAGTATGCAGATATGAAAAAGATTCTCTATCACCCAAATTTCTTTTGAAGAAGTTGAGATGTGCTGGACTTCTCTTGCTGACAATACCTGGATCTTAATAGGAAAAGATCACTCTTAAGTGATTCTCAATTGAGATCTCTCTCGTTTCTTCTGTAGGGCACTAAGCAAGGCATATTTGTTTATGCAGCACATTGATTAGCCAACTTGGCAGGGTGACAGTTCATGAATTTAAATAGTATCAAAGTGAGTATTTTATGGAATGAAATTTGAAATTGCCCAGATGCTGCAACAATGGGTGCTTTAAAAAAATCTAAATATTGATAATAATAAAAACTAACTGTACCTCCTAAGTAAAAATGGTTGACATTGGGTAACGATGAAACTCCTAAATTTGTTATGATCTTCAACTTAAGTTGTGTCTTAAATGTAAATGGCCAGAGAGGAAAGCTAGCACATTTCAAAACAAAGGCATATTCAAGTGATAACTGTGAGGTTTCAGTTACGTGCATTATTAACCACTCCACTGTTACATACATACTAAAATCTCTTCCTGTTATACTCCTGCTTTGCCAGTTACTCACCGTTTTATATGTTTCGTTGCCGTCTGGTATGCTAACACACTACAAGCCTTTTCTTTTTTTGGTGTGGCTTGCCCAGAGGTCATAGGCAGTTTTTTAGACCTAACAGGTATGAATATATTTGCCTACTCATCCAAACTTTTGGTTGCTATTTAGAGCAGATTCTGGAAGCTACTTGCAATTTTCCTGTGGTAATTATAGCCTCAGTACTGATTTTTATATTTTCATACATGCTCCAAAATGAGTAGATTGCTGCTGCTCATGGGCTGCTGCTCATGGGCTGAATGGGCTTCACGTTTCCCCCTCCCCCACCCCCTTAATTTAGATTCAGCACACAACAACATATAATGAAAGTCCTCTGTATTTACTGCTTTCTGTTACATGTGTGCAAAATATCCAGTATGATGAATGATAAACGACAGCATATTATTCCCTTGGATCGGCCTTGGGAATAATCGGATTATTCTCCCTACAAGAGTACTCTTGAGACTGCTTTGTGGTCAGCAATATAGATTGGAAGGACAGAGAGAGCCCACTGATGTGGATAATGATCATTGCTGAGAGGAGGCTCTTGTTTCACTGGCATACAGAGCAGACTGTTTTAGATATTTAAAAAAACCTATTTTATTTACAGTTTTTCAGTAAAGTAAAGAAAGCAAAACTGCTGTATTGGCAGTGAATTCCACCCACTGACTGCATTTTTTATTCCTGTCCTAAAAATGATCTATGCTTTGTAATTTTTCATGGGAAGATTATTGTCAGTGCCCTGAATTTGGGTGCTAAAAGATCCTAGAAAAATATACTAGAATGACATGAGATGGCCTGAGGTTATTAGCCTCTTATTATGGAGGGTGAGGCAGCCTGCGAGAAAGGACTGTAGCATTCTTTTCAACAAAATTTGGTTGACTGTATGAGGACAAATTATTATTTTCCTCTGTTTTAAGTTACAATTCATACTAAGGAAAAACTTGCTAGGCTGCTTTCCTTTATGATAACTTTTTTATGGATGTATTTAATTATTGGAAGAGGGGTGCTGGCTCTGTTATAGATTGGTTGGTTGGTTCAGAAAAGTGCAAACCAAAAATACTTAAATACGTTTTAAACTTATGTTCCCTTTTGCATTGAAGGGAAAATATATTAGTAGAGATTTGAAAGCTGGTTCTTAGGATGTGCTGCTGCTCATGTTTTATTACATGTCAAATTTGGAAGCTTAGTCTGTCATTGAAGAAAATACTGAGAGGTGAGAGTGAGTTTGCTGATGGTTGGGGAAGGGAGGGAATGGGTCATTATTAAGGCTATGCAAAGCTCCGGTCACTGATTCAATTTGGCAGAGATTCAGCCCGATTCGGCACCCAAACCTCCAAATCCAAATCAAATCAGGAGACCCTTTAATCTCTCCAAATCAAATCGGAACCCTCCGAATCGATTTGGAGTTTCGATGATTCAGACGTAGACACAGCTTTAAATGTTTTTTCTACATACCTGGAGGTACCAGGTGGCTTGTGAACACTGAGATGCTGGGATGGATGGAGCATCCCATAGGAGTGCAGGGGGGTCCCCAGCGTGCTTGGTGGCAGACCCAGAAGTGGACCAGAAGCAGTTCTGGTCCACTTCCGGGTGCGCCGCAGAATGTGCAGGGGACTTCGCCCCCCGGCTCAGTGACTGGTTACTCCTGGGTCGAGTGGGGGAACCCGGGGCCTCCCCATGACCAATCGCTGACCCAGGGGTGGGGGCGCGGGGTAGGAGGGTGGTCCCCCGTGCACTCTACAGAAGTGGACCTGAAGTATATCCTTGCGCTCCTGTGGGACGCTTTGGCTGCCCCACCATCTCCATGTTCACGAGGTGTGCCTGGTACCTTGAGGTATGCAGAAAAAATATTTAAAGCTGTGTCTATGGCCGAACCGCTGATTCTCCGCTGATTCTCCGAATCCGCATCAAATCTTCAGATTCGGATTTGGCTGAATCGAATCAAGACAGTGACTCGAATCAACATCCCCTGAAGCAGCCCGAATCCAAATTGAATACAGCCTGCTTCGCACACCATGGGTCATTATGGCTTTCTGTTTGAGAACTCATGTGATCTGAATCTCCTTTCACTTTGTTGGCACTCTGTTTTCAGGCAATATTGCCATAAAAAAACAATAGCCCCAAATGGCTAAAGGCATGTGCCCTGTCATGTAATGAGCATCATTCTGCTTTATTTTAGATAACAGCTGCTGGTGGGCATCTGAAATTTACCATTTCCTATAGCCTCTCAGGGCAGGAAGAACCACTTCAAACAATACTTCACTCTGATGTCATAATAGAGGTAGAGTATTTCCATTTCTGATGATTAACTTTAATCCACCTCTTTACATGACTAGTTAAGGCTTGTGGCATCTAAAACTGATCAGGTATCACTGTTATTCAAAGATGTGTCTGCAGACAATTTTTGCAGCATCAAATAAGGACCATATCTTATATACCTAATACATATCTATAGGAGCCTTTTCTGATATTAAAAAGTACTGTCAGATTATATTTACAATGATAAGCTAGACAAATGAAGAACTGGTAGAATTGGCTGATTGAAATAGGAAGTAAATTCTTTAAACTAGTATCATACCTTAGACAGCTGTAGTATTATTATTGTCCTGGAGACTGTGCTTCAATGAATTTAGTTGTATTTTCTGATCCCCATGCTAAGGCATGCAGCTGGATGGATACCTGTTAGCTCATTGGGGTTTTGCTTATACTGACTATAAGATGACTATAAGCTGTTCCCAAACCATTCCCTCGATTTTTGTCAGTTTATTCTATCACCTATAATTCTTCAAATTATTTGTTTCATATGATGGGTATAGGTTGTAGCCATGCTGGTCAAAGTCTTCTAAAGTCTTAGTATCAAATGAATGATGCACTCCTTTTAAGAGCAATGGATAACCAGTCTGTGGCATTCCTGGTATGTAGTGTCCTTATATACTGATCAGTAACCCTTTGCACTAGGGGTCAGATTCAGTTCTATTTATTAGAAGTGTAACTGGACTTTAGTGCCTAAAGTCAATCCTATTTCACCCTGAAATATGTTAATACAAAAAATCTGTGCATCCTTCCCATCCTTGCTTCTTTTTTGTGACTCAGTTGCAAAGGTAAGATTACAGTGTTACAAAAGTATATGCATTAATGGATTTTCAGGGACTTGAACAGGGAGGAATAGAATAGCACTTGGGTGTCTTTTTCCATTTAGATGCCCAATAGATGGAATAGAATCTGTCCCTAAATGTCTACAATGATACAGCATCTTTTCTACCCCTTTTATATTTAACTGAATCCCTAATATCTATCTCTAGGGAAGTGGCTTTAGAATCAGCACTCCAACAGATGGGATTCACCTGCAGCCATTTGAGGAGCACACAGAAGAAATTGTTCTGAAACCAGACTCATTTACCGTGTATGGTACTGACATTCCAGTCAGCAAAAGGGAATTCATGACCGTGCTGGCAAATGTAAAGAGGCTTCTAATAAGAGCCACGTACAGCCATGGGATGAATGCCATCTACAGGTAGATTTGGGAACTACATTTGTGATTTTTTTAAATAAGCATGGCATACAAAAGTAGGCAATCCCAAACCTTTCCCTGGATTTATGTCAGATTAGTCTACTGTCTGGACTTCTTAAAATCATTGGTTTCATTTGAAGTCTTCTAAAGTTTTAGTATGAAATCAATGGTGTATTTTTATAAGGATATTTATAAGAGCTGGCACAGTAGCTCTCTCATCTGGGTTGGGGTTGACAACCTATGGCACACAAGTTGAGCTGCAGACTGTTGGATCCAGCCCATCAATGTTAGGCTTTAGTGGCATTTGGTGTTGGGGACTTCTTTCATGGCACAACAGTAAGAAGTGCCAGTAGCTAGGACTTTCCCTGTGCTGTGGTTGGGAGCGGCAGCAGCAGATGGGTCCTAGTGCCCATCTGCCTCTGATCCACACTGGGTCATTCTGGCACATGGTCTGAAAAGTTTGCCAACTGCTCATCTAGGAGGCTGTGATGGATAGCCTATAATGCCTACAGAAGTATGTGGTTCAGTTTCTAATGCTAACATTGGATTTGAAATTTCTCCCAGTGCTTTAGTGGACAGTCGAGGAAGACCAAAAAGCCTTTCTTGTAATATTTATACATTTTTTCTCAGCTACATGAATCTTATTTGTAAAATATAGTAATGGGATTAGTTCCTGATTATGTTACATTGCAGCTTTGCACTCATGGGCTGTGTCCAGATGTGCGTGGACATTTGGTTCCCCAGGGACAACTATCAGTGACACACCTTGTGCCACTGATAGTTGTCCCAGGGAAGGCCCATGCCATGCATGCTTTGGCACACAGCAAGTTACCCTGGCTGTGGTAGGGGAAGCTGGGGAGAGCACTGTCCTGGCCCCAGAAGCGTTATCTGGGGTCCTCCTGGGGCTGTAGCTGCATCGCTTCTGCCACTTGGACCGCAGCCGGCAGTGGAGTGAGGCTCTGGCCTGCCAGGCTCTGGCTTTGGGCAGCGCACGCTGCCACCACATGGACCATTCCACTTTTATTTTCAGCGGGGAGGTTTTGACCCCTGGATATCCAAGGGTCAAAAAAAACCCTCCATACTGCTCCCTCGCAGAGCAGAGAACAACTCAATGTGTGGCATGTGGTGCCACAGACATGTCTGCAGTGCCACATACCGCATGGCCATGCTTGTCTGGACATGGCCATGAGGTAGAACACCTGAAAAGTACCTAACTTACAAATCAGTCACTTCAATCTCTAAAACAGTTTTGAATGGAGGAAGCTGATAGCACTCCTGTAATTACTCTCCAAGAGTAAAATAACATCTGAAGGAGAAATACCCGCACCTCTGTCTTGCTCTGTTCCTTCAGAATATATTCCTAGATGAAGTATCTGGAAGCATCAGCTCACATATTCAGGACTTCATTTCAAATCATTTTTAGGTCTCTAAAGTATAATAATTTTAAGTGACAGCAGGCTGAAACATGGTAAACAATTTGAGATCATAGAGATAGATTTTGTTTCTGTGCAGGGTGTTGTAAATTAATGCAGCAATTATTTTGAGTTCTTAGAGAATTAAACATAGATCCCAATGAATAGAAGCTGAAATATAGGTCACTGAGCACCTGCAGCTTGCTGACATGAACCTTTTTGTTGGCGTTCACTTGTGTTTTTCTCTTAAAGAGCTTGGCTTGTTTTTTTATCTTTTCTTTTCCTTTCACCTGCTTTACTACTTTATAGTACTTCTGTATTTTGCTCCTTCCAATTTGAGAACTGGCCAAGTTGCAAAAACTGGCTCTAGAATTAAACTTTTCTAAACTCAGTTATGTTTGCATCTGGCCTTTTACCATGACCTACAACAGGGCTGTCCAAGTAGCAGCCAGCAAGCTGCATGCAGCCCACAATGGGTAAAGTTGTGGCCCCTGGACTCTTGCCTAGCTGCCACTCCATGGCTCCAGCTGCAATAGCAGCCAGTCTCTGAGCTTATCCATCTCCCTCTGGCTTTCACTGCCTAGCCCTACATCAGGCTAGAGGACCTTAGTGCAATGGGGGCAAAAGAAGAGGGGGAGACACAGCATAGCTGGACACAGTGCACCGGGGGGAGGGAGGGGGAGGTGTGGTGCATCGGGCAGTGGAGGAAGTTGTTCATGCAGCCTATGGGGCCCATGGCTTGATTTGCTGTGGCCTTTGGGCATGTGACCCTTGTTAGTGTGGTCTGCATGGCGTTCAGTTCCTGTTCATTTTGCGGTTGGACAGCCCTGACCTACAAGTAAAGAAAGAACCCTTCAGCAGGTTTAGATCCAAATCCAAACTTCAACAAATATCAAAGAAGGTCAGATCCAAAGAAGGTCTTAATTTGGACCAGTCTCCACTTAAACTCTCTTGTATTTTTCCTATAAACTTTCAAATAATTTATTTGAAAATTTTCCTTTTCCTCTCTCCTTTTGATATCCTACAGCTCACATGAACTAAGGAGAACCCCTCTTAATGTTCAAAATATATATATATTTATCCCTAAGCAGTACACATGCTGATCAAATATGCAAGATACACTTTATGAGCCCATACACACAGCCCAAACTATAAATTTAAGGTATAGACATAAAGATAATACCTAGCTATTATATAGAACTTTTTTATCATTAGACTTCAAAGCTCTTTACAAAGCCTCATTATTGTTAACCCTCATTTTTGTGGATGGTAAATTCAGACCATAGAAAAGAGAAGAAACTTGCCTGGGGTCACTTGGTGAGTCAGTGGCAGGGCTGAGAACCTACATTCCTGAATGCTCTATCCAAACCAGTGGAGTGCTTTATCCACTCTCCAACAGAGCCTCCCCTCAGCTCTCTGGTAAATAGCAGTCTAGACCCTTGAGAGTTACAAGGAAACTGGCCTGTTGAGAAATAGTCTTAAAGAAACTCACCCAAAAAAGTATGTGGATCAGAATGAAGATCTGTAATCAGTGCTTTGCAGGTTTGTGATAGTTTCCCTCCAGTTATGCTGGGTTTGTGGCCAGAACTGTAGGTCCCTGTAAGGATAATTTTGGAATGTGTTTTCTATGCATAATACTGTTAGCTAAAAATGGCTTTAAGTTTCTGCCACACTTGTAACCTTTCCTTGAAAGGCCAAGAACAGAATATCCCTAGTTGCTGCTTCACAAAGAGCAAGAGCTGGTAAAATTGTGGCCCATCCTATTGTGTTGTTTGAAATACTTTTCTGTATGTGTATATAACATCATCAATACTATGAAAAGTCTTTAAGACACTCAAGACTTTGATTTTTTGATTAATACTGTTTATTGAGTGTCATCTGTGTGCTCAGTGCTGCTCACTACAGAGGAAGACATGGTGTGAAAATCATAGCCAAGTTAAAAATAAGTTTTGTCATTGAGGCCATGATTTCACCTGTGGTCTCTTTACCAAGACCATACAGTCTAATTAAGACAGTGCTTTCCTGCCCATTATGTCCTATCCATTTTGCTGATTTTCAGTGTACCCCTAGTTCTATTTTTTTTTTCAGATTCTGCATCATTATAGTAAAGTGCTTTAGGCACAGTGACCTAGCCTAATTATATTTACTATCTTGCAAAGGACTTGATCCAATTTTCAGCATTCTTTGTTGGCCCGACAAGGCTCCCTGTGTAGAGGATATGCTTTGTGTCATTCAGCAGCAACTCTCTCAAATGATTAAGAAGTAGGGTTGATAGGTTCTGAGGTAAGCCATATGTGCCCAGAGAGATCATATTGTCCCTAGTGTGAAACAAGCAGGTCATATGAGTGACTGTATTCCTTGTGAGTCTGGTAGAGGTCCAGAGGACCCTCTCCAGCCAGTAAATACTTGAGGGTTATTAGATTTTCTCATGAGACATAGCAGGATGGTTTGTTGATCAAAATTATGCAGAGTCAGTCACAGCACTGAGAATTGAACCCAAGTGTCATGAGTCTTCAAGATCATTCCCCTTTCCATTTATATCTTTTTATCCTGATGTAATGGCAATAAACATTAGAAATCTTATAAGCTTCAGTATAATTATTTGAAGGCACTTCCTATTCATGTACTAATATTGTAACCCTAAATTAAGCAATAACATTTGATTGTGAATGACTTGTGTATTATTGCTCTATCTCCAGAGTAGAAGGCTTCCTTAGATCATTATCTAAACAAAACATCACTCAGCAGAGGTAAAAATGCAATGGACAGTTTGAAAGCCATCACTGATTCTCTTTCAACTGGGGAATTCTACTATAACTGGTGGCATCATTAAAACTAATGCTACTTTAGTATACACTGAAGCACTATTGTAAAATGGAAGAATTGAACAGTTGTCTAGTATCATGTTAAATCCAACATGAGACTGCTCCAACAAGGCAAGTAGGGATGAACTTAGCCTTTGGCAATTTGACTGATGCAGATAGACACTGGGGAACCTGATAGACATGGCAATAAAGAGAATGGAAAACTTGCTACCTCATGTAGAATCACTCCCAACTCTAATGGAAGAGGATGAGAAAGGAAAAGTAGTGAAATGTCCCTTAGTCTATCACACCTGCTACAAGACAAATGAGGAATGTTCAGGTCAGTACTTCATAAACCTCATGTAGCCAATGCATTTCAGATGCTTGCCGAAGTAGACAGTAAACTAAGCTGATACGACCTAAAACATTCACTTCCCTTTTAATCTTATTTGTATTTAGAAGTCAACAGTTGCCTGCTGACAGTAACAGTCAGCTTAAATATTTGGTCTAGATGTTAAATCTCAGATTGTGCATGTATTTTTAGAATCCAGTGCCCCATTACTGCCAGCATTATGTATTTTAATGAAACCAGAATGGCATTGAGGAATAAAAATTACAGCATTGAAGTACAAAAAAAAATGCACTGCAGCTTTCTTCAATGAGTAATTGTTTAATACTGAAAACTGTTAAACACATTAAAATCCCATTTACCAAATAGCAGAACGTAATGAAAATTGGAATTCTTCGGTGCATGCAAATGTAGCATAATACCAGGCAGAATGTTTCTGTGTGTAACAGTGTCTCATTGTTGTAGATGATATTGCACGGGCTTGGGTGGGAACTAGCTGTAGTTCAACAGGCAAATGAGATTCAATGTTTTGATAGCAATTTTTGTTTCATTTATACATCTTTATTCCTAAGTTCTTTGATATACTGTGTGCCTTTTTCTGACTGTCTAGTCAAATTCTTTAATATCTAATGCACAAGGGATTTTTCACTGTAAGTAGAATTCAAAAAAAGGTAACTGCAGAATAGAGATGAAGCAAGGAGCAAGGAAAGAATGATAAAAGAGAGAGTGAGATCTTGCTGTAGACTCACCCGTGAACACCCATTACCTACAATGGGGGTGGGATTTGTTGGAGGGGTTCCAGTCTTCCGCACTGGTGCCAATTCGGATTAAAGTCTCTAGGTGTGCATTCCTTATGTGCAGTTAACTCAATGTCCCCCTAAAAGCCTCATTCTTACAAGAATAGTTCTTATATTCTCCAGAGAACCTTCTCCTGGCTCCTGGTAGGCCATTTCTCTCCTTTTTTGTCATCTCTTTCTCTCTCGGAGAAACCCATACAGCTGACTTGAAAAAGGGATTTTCTTTCATTGGGATTTTTAAAACATGTACTTTTCTTTTTCTTTCTTGGATACTTTTCTCTCTTTTTTTTTCAAAGCAAGATTTTTTTCAGGTTCCTTTATGCAACCAAAAGCCAATGATTTTTGTTTTAAAAGGCAAATATTTTTTGCTTTTTCCCCAATGCAAATTGGACTTTTTTAGTGCAAATTGCCATGTAGGTGAAAAGGCATTTTCCTCTGAAAAGACATTTCTTCAGAAAATTTTCAACTCCTGGTAATCAAGCCTCTTCTTCCAGGGTGCTCATCTGAACTTCGTCAGCTCCCAAATTAGAAGTCTGATAGGAATTAACTCCCAACATTAATATTTTGGATGCAGTGCAGGACTGCGTTTTCCCCTTTCCAAAAGGCATAATGTCAGCTCATGAAGTTCTGGTGACTCTTTCCGAAAGGCATAATGTCAGCTCAGCTCATGATTAATGAAGTACTGTTCTAAGTGTTGCTCATTTCTCTTGTAGCCCAGTAGAAAAACCAGCATCTCCGGTAATCCAGGGTGGACCAGCCCCAGGCACTGATTTAGAGGTCATGCAAGACTCACTATAGCTGCCACCCCCACCTCAGCCATGACTGCCATCAGTGGGCAAAATTAATTTTGCCATCATGGGACAAAATTACCTGTTATGTTTCTGTTGCAGCTGATTCTCATATGTGGAGAACCTTCCTGCTTTTCCTTCACCGTTCTCCTCCCATTATTCTTGCTGGCAATTCTATATCAACTTGCAAGTAATCCATAGCCTGGGGGGACCTTTAACTAAAATAATTATTAAAGTAACTGTCAGCTCTGATGACAGATGTTTTGACTTGCTGATTCAATGTTCCAAGGTAAATTTTGTTTTTAATAAAAATAATACACTATGTTTGACCCTAATCCATTATGGAAAAGACTGAATATGCTAGACTTTACAGTGCACAAGCTTAGTATTGATTTGTTAATTTATTGACCCTCCTCCCCCCACACTCCACAAAGGAACTGAAAGGAAGTTCAAAGTTGATCAGCTTTAGGGCTAGCTGCCACTGAGAAAACTATCAGTCACATCTCTAAGATGCCTAAATAAGTTCACGAGTTACAGCTTTTACATTTCCTTTGAGTTTTCTGCTTCAAGAACAGAAAAATAGTAGAAATTTCCACCTTTCTCTCTTTTCTCTTTGTGGTACTTGAAAAACTGGGACTGATCAAGGGAGATTCCCTTTCTCTCTTTCTCATGTGTAATGGTATTGATTTTCTCCTGGACAGAGCTGAAAAGGTGAAATCCTTTTTAGAGAGGTGAATCTTCAGAAAAAATAGTATTTCATAATCAAAGCTTAGTAATTGTAATATTTTGTTTAAGGAGGAGAAAGCAATTTTATTCTTTAAGGTTCATTGGCACCAGTTTGTTAACAGGCAGGCTATTATATATACATCTCTAATGAAAATCAAAACATGTAACTTATAAATTAAGAATAATCTTCCTGCTACTTATACAGTATTATGAGAGTTTTTAGTGTGTGCTGGCCATATTCTTCTTCATATGAAGGATAGAAATAGCAACAAAGCTGCAGACGTTGGACTAGGAAATTGAGACACTGGATCAACTACCTTGTTATTTTTAAGCAACCAAACAAGTGCAGAATAATGAATCTCACTGGGTACATCTATACATGCATTAATGTGCTGCAGTTACTGTGTATTATGTTTAGTACCTGTAATAACAGGTACTAACTAAATGTGCAGTAACTAGTGCTACTTCACAGTAACACTGGCACACCCCTTTTTAGTGATGCTAATGCTCAGTAGACTAATTCAACTATGCATTAGCGCAATAACATGGGTTTTGTCATGATCTTATGTAAACGTGTCCACTATTAACTCCCAGTTGCATCCAGCTGCAAACATACTGCTATAAAATCTGTACTTTATTCACAAGTTAATTGTTTTATTTTTTGTTAAACATAGGTTGAGTGGGGTCAGTCTGGAAGCTGCTGATCGTTATTCAACTGGCAGGAATGTGGCAACTGCTGTGGAGGTTTGTCAGTGTCCCCCAGGGTATGGAGGCACCTCTTGTGAAGTGAGTATTAAGAGAGTCAAGAGATTTATCTTTCGTGCAAGTGATTGTGTTGACACAACAGTCCAGCAATTCCAATCTGCCTTAATGCAAAATAGCAATTAAGCTGTCCTTGTTAATAGATTCCTTTGGATTTAGGATCATATAGGAAATTGCTACTTAAAATTTCATATTCACAACTGGCAACCTTGTAGTCCTTAAGAATTCTTGTAATCATTTCCAAAGTTCCTAATTATTTGGAAGACATAGTTTTAGATCCCAAAGTCCCATTTCTTACATAAATCATGTGTGTTTCCTTGCTTAGTTACTTTAATTCACAAGAGATAGATATAAAAGCTTTATTGCAAAAATTAAAATTAAGTTGATACATAGCTTTGTAAGAGTTGGAAGACAAAACAGGACCCTATGCATAGTGGATACGTAGGTACGTATTTGTTGCATCTTAACACAAACTAAGACGTGCAGTTAATGATTACATTAGTCCAGGATAAAATAATGGGGATGTTTCCACATCATGCTATGGTAAGAAGAGAGGCAGAATCCTATATATTACTGGTTCTGTGACCATTTGATGTTGTCAGGCAGGAGGCTGGATTAGATGACCTCTCAAGGGCCCATCCAGCCCTGCTTTTAGATGAATGCATGATAGTTTGAGATGCCTGATCAGCTTAAAGTAGTGCTGGAATGCTCAGGAGGCTCTTAGGATGTTGTTCCATATTTGAAAATAGTTCAAAGCCCAATAATCTGCACATTACATTATGGAGGAAAGACATTTTCCAAAAACAAAGGAAAGAGGTTCTGTTGGCTCTTCAGCTTTATTGTTTATTTTACCAATGATAGATGTAGTGACACTGTACATACATGTGAAACATGTGCTGTGTTTGAGTACTAGAAGGAAAATAGCAATTATATAGCTTGTGTTGAATAAACTGGATTACTAGCATTGCTGTTATTGAATCTCTCCTTCTGTCCTTCAGGGTTTTTGTGTATTGATGTTTATGGTTTTCCTTTTGTTCTGTTGTTGTTGAAGGTTATAAGTTTAACATAACCACGCATTCAAAATGTGAACATATTCACACAGATTCACTAACATATGTGCATTGTGTGTGCACATAACTACACATATGCTTAACTGACTTATAAAGAACATGGCTTGAGGTAAGTAAGGAACATAACATTCTTCAAAAGCTATGCCTCTAAGGAAGTGGTTTCAAGCACCAAGACGCTCTGCTTCACAAAACTACAAACAATGTGCCATTTACACAGACACTCTAGGCATTTCCTTGTCAGTTCTCTTTTTCTTTAAAGCATCCCATGCTTATATATGATATTTAGGGCTTAGAGTCTCATTTCATGCCAAATGCTTTTTGTGTGTTGCTGGGGCTAGAAATGCTAATCTAGAAAGAAGACCTAAAGGAATTTGTGGAGATTCATATCAAAGTCAGATGTAAACAAAATCAGATGAAAATATAACTTAGATGCAGCTTTTTGGAGTAGATACAATTACTTAAGAAGGCACAGTCATGTGTTGACTTCTCTATTCTTCTTCCTAATTCAGATTTTAACTTTGATCTCCAAGCCAGAAATTTTAGACGCTCCATGTCTTCAACTGTCTCTAAATCTGACTATTGCCACCTGTAGAACATGGTAGAATTCTTATCTACCTTGATGCTGCTGAAATTCCCTCTCCAACCTTCTACCCATTTCTCATCTTGATTATTTCAAATTTTCTGATCTCCACAACATCCAGGATTTTATAGCCAGACCTCCAGAAAGTCAGATACCCTTGTTTATTTTGTTCAAATGATTCACAATTACCACCAGTTTATAACATTTCCCATGGATCTGATGCACATTAAAGCCCAGATCCTACAATTAATAGTGAAGATCACAGTAGTATAATTGATAGGATTCTGTGTGGATGGAGGATCCAAGGTTCTGTGCTCTCAGTTGCATGATTGGAGACTTTGGGCTGAGGGAATAATGTACTGTAGAGGATTCTTTTCAAGAAATTTATCCTTTTCATTTTATAGTGAATGGCAGCAAGAAGAGCATGATTTCCTTGTATTACTTTATGCAATTTCCCTCTTTTGAGCATTCTGTACTAGAAATTCAAAGTGTTACTGTTGGCTGGTTCTGATTTGTCACAAAAATCACAAGGTACTGCCCATTCAAGCCCATGACAAGATGCCTGTAATTCTTATAAGGATTGGGGAGGAGGAATCTGTGAGGTCTGGAATCTCCCACAGACAACAGTACTTGAGATTAGGGATAGATAAACGCCATTATAAGAAATATTACAAATGGTTAAACTCTTGATTTCTGGGTTACACTGCCAACATTCTGTTTCCTCAAACCTCAGGCATCTATACATTTACTGATAAGGTGCTAAATTTTCTTTTTTTTAATATCCTGTTCTGAAAAGGTGATGTCCCATGTGTATACATTCATAAAATAATCAACCTGTGGCAGTTGACTTGAGCTCCAAATGCTGTAGAAATGCAGAAAATAAATAATAATAAATAAGAAGAAGAAGTGTTGAGATAGATAACACAAGGTACTTGTCCAGCTCATTTACTTACACAGTGTCTGGTTAGAGGTTTGGATTGATATTTGTTCCATTAGAAGTTATCCAATCCCACTAAATTCCCGTAATGGGTAAGAATAGTCAAATACATGAGTTTCACATTTACTTCATACAAGAATTTGTGCAAGGAAAATTATTCAGTTGCTCAGATGTTTCTGAGAAGAGAGATATTGTCACAGCTGCAATATCCATGGAAATGGTTGCAATAGGCACCTAATTCTACCCATACCGCTCTGCTGACCTTCTGTTCATCTATCTACTTATTCTTCCTATCATCTTTAGCTACTTTCTATCCAGCGTTCCAACAACTGCTCTGGGGAGTCTGTTGTCAGGGGCAGATCCAGGTGGGGTGCAGGAGTGCAGTTGCATGCTCCTTTGATTTCTGCTCTACCCAAAGTTTAAAACCAACTACTTGGTAGTGACAGCAGCCTTTCTATTCAGGGAGCCATGAGGAAGTCAATTTACTTCATGGCTAACTATAATCTACCTGATTCCTTCTAACTGCTTCATTCTACAGATATTAATGTTCATCTCTTCTTTGTAATAGCCTTGAGGTTCTACTAATTGAACCAGACTTTCTTCTGCAATTCTATTATTTGTTAGCTGCTCTTGGTAATCTACTTCACAGTCCTGCATGCTACAGATGGTGACAAGATCTCTCATCTTCTCATGGCTCCAGTTGTGTGACCAGGGTTGGGTATTGCAGGAGGATGGGACAGGCTCATTTGTGGTGCATGGTGGTACCTGTGGGGTATTGGCATCCATGGGTGGGGCTGCAAGGAGGGGGTGGACAGATGGATGGATAGATGGATGGAAGGACAGGTGCAAGTGGGTATGAGTCCCAGCTCCTGGCTCTCCTCACTCTAGCTGGGTGTGGCTGCTGCTTCACAGCAACTGGGGCTTCATCAAACTTGCCACCCTCATGACCTCAAACTTTCCAATTGCTTCCAGCTGGCAATGGCCTAGGCCTTGGTCTGGAAATTTCAAGGGGCCTCTACCTACCAACACTGGGATGGCAGGCCATGCCCTGCCTGTGCCCAAAGTTTCCAGTGATTTCTGCCTGCCTGCTCTTGCTGGCATGCTCAAAGCCCCTGTGTCTCAGTGCTCCAGAACCTGCAGGCTAAAAAAACCTTGGCATGCCCCTCCCCTGGCAGGGACCCGTACCCCTCCCCTGGGTCCCAGTGCCCCAGAAACAGCAAGCTAAAAAAACCTTGGCAGCACACCAGGTGCACGTAGCCCCAGTACCTGCCGACAGTGGCCGAGCCATGGAGGTGACAGGGTCACTGTCATGCCAGCCCAGTCCTGAAGTTCTACCCCTCCCACCCTGTCCTAGTAGTGAACTGTCCACACTGGCTCTTGCTTGGGGCGTGTGGGTGTGACCATGCAGGGATCTGGGTTGCAGGGTGCCTGGGCCTGGCCACTGAGATGTGGAATCCATGGGGCTGTGCTAGAGTCTGGGGGTCCCCAGCTGGGTCTGTTAGTGCCAGGGTCAGGGTCCATGGGGCTGTGCCTGAGTCTGAAGGTGTGGGTTAGAAGGTGTGGGGGTCCCTGGCTGTGCGCTCAAGGGCCAGGGCCAAGGTCCATGGGATTGTTCCTGAGTGCAGAGTTTCTGGGCTCAGTGTTGGGATGTGAGTGTAGGTTGTGGGGTGCTCCATGATGAGGTATTGGGGGTGTGAAGGCATGATCCATGGGCTCCAATGCCTGGGTCCCAGGGCCTGTACAGGGGACACAGCTACCACACTTCCCCCCACCAGCTGTCACTCGGTTCTAGGACAGCCTGGGGACAGGGTCTGCTGGGTACTTGGCCAGAGAAGCCTAGTGCAGGTTAAGTTGCAAGCACGCTTCCCCAGCAGGGAGAACTGTGGGGTGACCACAAAGCACACTGGGATGCTGGAGAACAGCTATGTAACTTGATTCAATGAGGGAACAGTACAGATGTTCAATAGATCGCTTTAGCCTGAATCAGTCTTGATTTAGTGCACCTTGGACATAATCTGTTCTAAATTGCTTGTGCCATTGTTAGACCAGTTTGTGTGTACATCTGTACAGTTATAAGTTTAGATCAGTCTATATTTACTTAGACCAGCCTAAGTGTAATGTCTGTATGCTCCCTCAGGTAAATATTTTCTCAGGTGAGTAAATAACTTTCAGTGAAGCATTGGATGCATTTTCAAGGTGTTTAGAAAGGCTAGATTTTGTCTTATGAATCTGAAAAAGAGATGTACATTTAATTCTAATGACTACAGGACTAAGAAAACAATATCTTTTGAGTATTTTTGCCTAGTTTGTTGTGCAAAATATATGATATAGCAAATAAATGCACATTTCAATAAAGTTATAATTGTGTATGGTTCAATCGTATACTGAGTAATAGCTATGCCCCTAGCTTTTTAGTAAAGCTTTTAATTTCCTTTTATTTGGAGAAAAATATGTGTTGTGTTGTACATGATGATGCAGTACACCACCTGTTCTCCACTAGATCTGCCCATGTCTCTTGTGTTTTACTTTTGCTTCCATAACTATCTGGGACTATGCTTGCTCCTTGTGAATCTATCTTATTTCCTCTCTTTAAATGTCACCCCCCTCAGAGAAATAATCTTAATATTATACCCCACTAAATCAGGATGGGAATAGGCATCTAGGACCTTGAGTAAAATCTCAGCCTAAAATCATGCAACATGGCACTTATACAAATGCCTGTTATAATATTAATTGTTTCTAGGAAAAAAAATATCTGTGTGTATAGAGAGGAGGAAAGATTTGAACCTATAGGCTGTGTCAACATGAGACGGTTACTGCATAGTAGCTTATTAATACTGCACAATAGCTCATTACTACCATGCAGTAGCATTGCCAGTCACAAACCATAATACAATGCTACTGTGCAGTAGTAAGAGCTCCTGCGTGCAGTCATTTAGTACTTGGTTATGCTAGGACTAAATGACTGCGCAGTAACAACTGAGCAGTGGGCGTCTCGTGTAGATGCCCACAGAGTCTTTTTAGACACTTATTTATATCTTCTACACAACAGGCAAAAGAAAGTACTGTTTCTGTTTAAGGCTTTTTCTCTTATTAATTTGACATCTTCATGTATGTCTTCATGAAAAATACCTAGCAAAAAACAAAAAAGCAAAAACTCAATGTCTTTTCCCAAAACGTTTCTTTTTTTTTTTTTTAATTATTCTTCAAAGTTATCTCATACTACAGGTCCATGCCTATACGAAAGCAACATCCCTTAAAAGGGGAAGTGGTATCACTTGTTACCTGTAGGTTGTTTGGAAAACATTGTTAAACAAATTAATAGATTAATCTCTGTAAGGTAAGGACCACTTCATCATATGCAAAGGTCGGGACAGCATGCCATGTACCACTTATGGTGCAACATTCTTGGACCACGTGAACAACCTTAGAGGGGAAGGCAGTTGTGAAAACTCTAAAGACTTTTCCGCAATACATATGTTATAAGGAAGACTGATCCCTGTTGTTTTGCTATGAACAAAGAAAAAGCAGAATTCTTGTGGATGGATCACTGTTGTAAGGTGTCACCTTTGCTCAGGTTAATCTAGGTATGCGTTTAATATTGTATCTACATTTTTAAGCATTGCAGGAGTTCCTTTTAAAGGGAAAATATTACACATATATAGTAAAAAAAATGCCTAAATAAAAGGGCCTACTCTGTTTTAAAACCAGATTTTAATTTAATGCAACGTCTTGTTCAAGAAAGACTAAATTGTATTGTAATTGTTGTTTACAGTTGAATTTTTCAATATGGTCCCCTTGGTTAGGTTTTTCATTTTGTTTTGTTTTTCCTTCTCTGTCTTTCAGCAGTTTGTCTCCTGGCTATTTTTCAATCTGCACCTCTTGCTTTGGCTCTGTCATAGTTCAGTTCTTCATTTCTTTGCTTTATTTTACCATTTCAGAAGAAAGATCAAGTTAAAGCTTCCTCTAATCTCACACCTGCCAATAAATCTAAGGTCAGTGCAAAGCCACAGTACCAGGACGAATAGCTCTCTAGATAAGTTTCAGTATTTTTTCGCCATTTAACAAGTACATTTTCTCAGTGAATCTGCCAACTTCAACACTTTTTATTTAAAAAAATAAAATATATTGCCTCACTATCTGACAAATGTGTGGTGTTTCTTGCAGTCTTGCTGGCCTAGGCATCGGCGAATAAACGGCACTATTTTTGGTGGGATCTGTGAGCCGTGCACATGTTTTGACCACACGGAGTTCTGTGATGATATCACTGGAGAATGCCTGGTAAGTCTCACTGCCCATGGGAAACCTGATTGATGTTGCCAAGATCAGTTCAGTATACCAGTGCAATTGAATTAGCCACCTTTGGGACCACAAGTAGTCTAGAAAAAGAAGCAGTGATTTGACAGAAGAGATCTTTATATTGAACCGCTTCTGAAGTTAAGAATACCCTTGTATCAGGATAAAGTAGCTTCTGCAAATAAACTGAAAGAAGTATTTATTCATGTTGGTGTGAAGTATTGAAACCAGATCAACAAGATAATACATGACATGTTGAAAAGGCAGCAAAGGATATCAGTATGTCTTCCAGGAAGATTTCTTTCCTCTTCCTGTCTCTGTCTCCTGCCAGGTGTTTATTTATTGCCTATAGTACGTAACTTCGTAATTCTATTTCACTACAACAGCAAGGTATTGTTGGCTTTCTTCTACCTTCCTAGGAAGCCTCAAAAAGATGCTTAATAAATCAGGACTTTTTTTTTCATTCAAAGTATATGGTTTGGTTTTAAATAGAAACCAGAATTTTTCTTATAGAAAGCATATATACTTCACTATATTTACCTCCTAATTCAGCAATTAAGTCCATACTATTATCCAGAACAAGCCTACCAGTACGCTGCTATTTCCAGCCAGCTCAGTAGCCTTTTGGAATGAGTGAATTATGCTGAAAAGACTGTTCTGATTAACTCAAGGGCATTTTAGTTTTATATTGTCTGACATGGCATGAAGCTTGAAACAACATTTCTCATTTCATTAGTCTTGCAGAAACACAATTTGAGCCAGTGCCAATTTAGTGGGATATCATACTCTCATTTCCCTGCAGAATTTCAAGCAGACCCTGTACTGTATGTTTCTAAATGTTCCTTTTTATTTCCTTAAGAAAAAGCTGCTGGGAAAACTGCAAAATGAAAATTCAGGGTTCTTACAGTGTAATTTGGTATTCAGAATTATCATCGGTCTTCCTGTTTTTCCCCGCACAAGATGTTTAATTGCATTGCAGTACAAAACAAGATATCCTTAATTTGTGGATCAGTGGATTTTTCAAATTGCTTTTTCATGAATAGAAACCTACAATGATTCTCAGTTTAATTATACTCTATGTTTTTTAAAGTCGTACTGAGGAAAAAAATGCCCTCATGACAGTCACATTTTGAATTCTTTCCTCTATATGCAATGAAAAAAAAAATTAATCACTAGGCTGATATGGATTTGTCTTTTCTTACAAAGATAGAGACAATTTATTACATTACTGATTGTACTTTCCAGCCACAGTCTCTGTAACATCAATATGGGATAACACCAGTTAACAAGAAAAAAAAGGAAAGACTGGACGGTAGGCTCCAAAAGGTAAATCAGCAGCTCAGGGCTATTTTGTTTAGAGGTACATGGCCAGATGAAATTTGGGAGCCACTTGCTCAGCTACAATAGTTCAGTACCTTATTTGTGTGAGTTATTTGTCCCTAAACCTGGAAGATCTCTCTTCATTTTTCTCTCTCTCATTTATTCCCACTCCATCATGGGGAGTGATAGGGGGTTGTGGGGCTGTGTAGTCAAGTGATTGTTCACTATTAAGCTGATGATCACCGGTGAACCAGTGACAGATGAGTAAAGCTCTTCCTATATCTCCTAACAGGGTCAGACAGAAGTGAAACAGACTTAAACTATATACAGTTGAAAAGTGTAATGTGCAACATCTATCTAATCTTACAACATTATCAAGCATTTATTCTGTACTCAGTACTGTGCTGTTTGAGCTTACACTGTGTCATCCTGTAGAGAAAAGTAGAACAGAAATGCTCAATAATCTGTTTGGGGTTTCCTTGTAAGTCACATTAAGTGCACCGTGAGTGAAGTTAGATTGGTTACTATCCATGCAGGCTGTTAAATGCTGCTATTCATTTTGGATCATAAGGCTTTTGAAGTGAAGGAGGGAGAAGTCTGAATGCTGAAAAAGAGAAATGTTTCACATCAAAGGCATTCTTTCTATTGAGATTTACGCAGCCTTTTGGCCTCCTCATTATTATTCATGGTGTTTTTTCAGTAATACAACAGACAATTTAGGCACCTAATTTACTGATATGATACTTCTTTTTACTCTTCCTTGGCTTTGAAATGCAGTTGAAAAGCAACTGAAATATGTTTTTGACTCATGATAAAAGCTCAGATCATCTGCTCTGGCATAGGCCTGTATAAAAAGCTTATTTCTAATGCACATCGTACAATAACCTGCAAAGCCCTTTGATCCCTAGAACAGCTATATAGAGAGCTGTGTGAGACATCATTCTCATTACCATTGTGATATACATGATAACTGCTTTGGTACACAGTGCAAGTTCTAACCATGCAGAAATCCTTTTTTGTGGTATTACACATTCACAGTTAGTGCAGCATTAGGAGGTTGGTTAAATCTAGTCCTTGTGAAGCACAAAAGCTTTTCATGCTGTTAACATTCACTGCAGTCTGTCACTAATCTGATGGGAAATGGATCCCAGAAGATCTTTTTTCTAAGGTATCAAAACTGGAAGTAGGAACCTTTGGGGACTTGGTCTTCATTTTATTTCACTCATTCATGCAAATGGGGAGCCTACACCATTTGGACAAGACCTAGCAGGAAGCAAGTGCTTTTAAGCTAGTGGGCATTGTGCACTTTTAGTCATTTCTGGCATGGAAAACACAACAAATCAGCTTAAATTTTATAAGTGTTAGCTTTGCTAAATCAGTGTAAGACTGGTAGCAGATGGACAATAGTGAGGGGGAGCTATCTCAGCATCCTTCCTTTTAATAAATATAGAAAAGGAGAAGGCAATTCTCATCTGTACCCAAAGTCAACAGTTGGCTGGGAAGTGCATTGGTCCTGATGGCAAAGGATATGTTAATTAAGCATGTCCTCTTACTAATATTGTCTTAAACCATGAATTTCCATGCCTTCCTATGATAGAGTACAGCAAGGTTCTTTCTGGGGCTGAGTCACCCCTTTCCCCTGCAGCCAGTGACACAAGGGCAAAATATATCTCTGTTCCAGCACCAGTGATAGTAAGTCCCCATTCATACTCCATTTTTCATGTACCATCAACTGTCAGAGAAGCCAGGCAGGCAGGCTTTTATTTTGTCTTCAGTTTTCCCTGATCATGATGAATTCAAGATTTCAAAGACTTGTAGAATCATAGATAAGCGGGTCTGAAGGTCATCTAGTCCAGTGTTTCTCAACCCATGGGTTGCAACCCGAAAGTGGGTCACAAGAATATTTGAAAGGTTGCGACTAGTCACAGAAAAATGTGGGAAAGCACAGGTTTACCCTTGCAAGCTTGTGGCCTTCCAGTCTACAAGGATCTATTGGAGTGATTGAAGGTAAGGGGTGCCAAATGTATCTGCCTATGCACATGCACATGGCTGGCATACAGTCAGGCAGGGTGGTGGGAGCACCCTTAGCAGCTGGATGCATGTAAGTCTGTGGGGAGTGGGGATTAGAGGACTAGGGTATGGGGACTCTCTGGGGAGCTGTGCAGGGGGGCACTCGTGTGTGTTGGGGGGAAGGGTGTCTGGAAAGGATGGGTCTGTGAGGTGGGGAAGGTACATGCTGGAGCTAGAGGAAGATGTCTGGGTGCTGGGACTGCAACAGGGTAAGGGTTGCGGGGAGAGGTGTCTGCCCCTCCAGTGGAGAAGTGTGGGGGGACCATTTGGGGGCAATGGGGAGCTGCATGGCTGGGCTGGCAGCACCAGGGCCAGTGCCCGTGCTCACAGGGGTGGTGCAGCCATGAGATACTGCTGAGGGTGGGGGGCATGGTCAGGCTATCTGGTGCGGTGTGGGAGCCCCATCCCCTCTCCTCCCTCCAGGCCATGCTGAGGCCAGACTCACTCCACTGCCACCTATATAAGTCAGAGCTGCTGCAACAATCGTGCTTTGGCCCAGGCAGAATGAGGGAAGCTGCCTCCCTCCCCGCTCCCCGCTCCAAAGGACTGGGGGGATAGGAAGCTGTGGGTTGGGAGAGAGGGGCACCAGCATAGCCTGGGGGGACAGGGGACTGTGGCTCAGGAATGAGGGGCAGGGTCAGGGAGCTGTGGGTAGGGAGTAAGGGGCATCAGCAGGGCCAGGGGGCTGCAAGTCAGGAATGAGGGGCACCAATAGGGCCGGGGGGCTTTGAGTCAGGAGCAAGGGGTACTGGAAATTTTCATTGTGCAGAATACACAATGATGAATGCCACTTGAGTGTAATGGAGAGCCACATGTTAACATTGTTTCCTGTTGCTATTGATTTTTGTCTTTAAAATTAAGACTGCTTTAACTTGTAGTGTACAATAAGTATTCTGAGGCCAAAATACTTGTGTGTTTTCTACTTAAACTACTTACTGGGTCAGGACTAGCCATCAATGTTTACAAATGGGTCCTGGTACAAAAAAGGCTGAGAAACACTGATTTAGTCCACCCCCCTGCCTGAGGCAGGACCACCCCTATTTAAACCATATCATACAAAATCTTATCTAGCCTCTTACTAAAACTACACAATCAACTCTGATCCACAGGCTAACCTATGGCACAATGGTGGTCAGTGTCCTGCTGCTGCTGTTAAAATATGCTCAAAAGATCTAAGGAAGAGGGATGCACTCTCCACTGCAGAGGGAGTTAAAAATCCCTACTTTCCATACCAGTTGACCATGGGGTAAAATTCCTTCCTGACCCCAAATGTGGCAGTCAGTTTGACCCTGAGCAGAGGGGCAAGGCTCTCTAGGAAGAAATATCTGGGCTTTAGTTCCAGCAAGAGAATAGGTAAACCCCAATCAAAATCCTCTGCCTTGGTTGCAGCAGCATCCAGTATTTCTGAGGAAGGTGAAGAAGCCTCCTCCCGTAAGATGAAGCAGCAGGGGTGGTGGGAAGGGGGAAGCCCCATGTGGCAACCTGGAAATCCCAGAAGCATTGAAAATACCCAGAGAATACTCCTAGGACTTAGATCATCTCTGGCCAAAGCTTATCCAACCTCTTCTTGAACATCTGCTGTGATAGAAATGTCA